CTACATTGTAATATGACAATGGCTTTGAATGGTAAAAAGACCAAGAGACTGCCACTGATTTCCATATCTATAGATCATTCACACCATGTTTTTTTTTTTTTTTCTGTGGCCATTGTATATTGCGCTAGGCGTGTGTTGATCAACATTCACGGCAATGTCGGCAGCTGCAGGTGTCAGAACTTCCTCCTCCATCATGACTCCTGCAGGAGGAAACCTACTTGCTCCACTGTAGTTTCAACACTGTCTCTCTTCTTCTCTCTCTCTCTCCTTTCCTTTTTTTAACTGATTGCTTCTAGAATTGTGATTAGGTATGATTAAAGGTTAGAGAAAAAAGAACAATAGGTTAATGATAAAGCACAATTTGGATTATAGATTATAATAAAAGAAAATAAGACCTAATCCAAATAATTTATTAGTGTGTGACGTTTCGGCAACAACATTGTCACCATCATCAGACAAAAGAATTTAAAAAAAAATTGATGATGGTGACAATGTTGTTGCCGAAACGTCACACACTAATAAATTATTTGGATTAGGTCTTATTTTCTTTTATAACAATAGGTTAATAAGTACAGTGGAAACTTCATTATAACAGTCTCTTTTTATAACAAAAACATAGTTGTATCAGTATCAAATCTTGGTCCCAAGTAATGTAGTTACAATGAAGTTTGACTTACGATATATCACAGTAGCATCTTTGTTATCTTCCTCCTCAGATGTAATACCAACACACCAGCACTTAGAAGGTCAAAATACAACCAACCAACCAACACTTAGCACATGAACCAGTTAGTAGATAACCTGTTGTCATTCAGCCAGTTTGTCCCTAGAGTGACAGTTAAAGAAAGATTTGACTTTTTCTAGAATGCTAGTTAAGTATGTGACCATATTTTAGGTGGATAAATGTCAAGATTTTTGTATACTTTTGCCTTTTTAAAAACAATTTTTTTTTTTTTAAATAATTATTATTCCTAGTACATGTGGTACAGGCCGTGATAATCATGGTGGGTAGAAGTTGGAGACTGCTTTTACTGTAAGTGCACCACATGTCTACACATGTGAAAAGCAGTTCGACTTCTGCACTTACAAATGTGCCAGAGCCCCTTCTCACCCCAATAACCTCGGCTCATTTTAAATTGATACTCGCACTTATCACAAGTTTAGTAACTTGCCTTTGCCGGTCCCAAGCCCCGATGAAAAAGGAAGAGGGGGCTGCCGTAACAAGCTTACTAAAAAACCTGGGCTCACCTGGCCCAGCTGATAGTACCCTGTAAAGGCTCCTAATCCAGGGATACAGGATGAGCAGCGTTTGTACTCCATGTTAGGAGCGGCTGCACATGGCGTCTGTTCCTCATGTCAGAGGCGGCCATTTCTTTTGGAGCTAAGTCGGCCTGCGACTGAGTAGTGCTCCCAGTCTTAATGACAAAGGCAGACGCATTCTACTTCACCCAGTCATGATGGTTGTCAAATCTCTTTTTCAAAAGTCTCAAGCTTCACACCCTAATATGATCGAGTGGAGATAAGAAAGAAGTTTAGTGTTGACAATCTTCCAGTTCTCTCCTATGTGTCCTTCTATCTGACTGTGTTAGTAAAGTCTCATCTTCCTAGAGTCAACTCCTCCATGTGCAATCCAATTTGTGTGTCTCTTTAGCAGAAATTTATTTCAGTAGAACAACCTCCATGAAAGAACACTCTTACAAGAGGACACCTTCTCTAAAAAGGACAGTTTTCATCGCCATAATTACCATTTTTACTGATTTGGAACAATTATAAACACAAGGTAATAAGACCAAATCCAAATGAATAGTGTATGACATTTCGGTAACAACGTTGTTACTATCATTAGACAAAAGTACTAAGAAAACTATTTTCTTCTTATCTGTTATCTTGTTTACACAACTGATAACATTACTATTTAAAACATGCTGTGATATAATGTTCTCATTGGGCTGCGCCTGCCCCTCCATTGCCAACCAGCGCACATCCAAGTGTGCCAACTGCTGTGCCAAGGGCCTCCCAGACAAACACGAGGCGAGAGCCTCAAGCTGCCCCATCTTGAAGTCTAGAGATTTCAAGTTCTAGGCTTCCAGGACCTCCTGCCTCCTCAACTGGACGCCATTCCCTCTTCTCACTGCATCAAGGCGTTGTTTCCCTGACCTCTCCAGCTTCCTCCACCCCTGCGATGACACCTCCACTGCCAGATCTTAGGATCCCTTGCCACCAGTTCGCGTTCTGCAGCCATGGTAGGGCTAGAAGACCTTATTTGATAGGCCAATTAGCCCGGAATTCAAGAATTCACTAATGTTCTCATTCAGTACCTTTTCTGATGATGGTAACAATGCTGTTACCTAAATGTCAACACACTATATTTGGAATTGGTCTTTCACCTTAGGGTACCTATTTAACAATTAGCTGCTCTCTGGTAAGAGAACATCAGAGTCTAAATGACACCTTGGCTCAGCAACTAGGTGTTGTCCTTTAAAAAGAGGTTGTTCTAGTGTATACTCATGGACAAAACTTAAAGAAGTGAAGAGTCTTTAATATAGCCGGTTATCTATTTTTTTTTGAAGGAGAGGCAATTTTGTTCACACTTGGTTGTCTTGTAGTCTTCAATAAATGGCACTGTGTGTCAAATATCTTTCAGAGTTAATTATAAGGCACAATTTGGATTATAGATTATAAACACAAGGTGTTAAGACCAAATCCAAATAAATAATGTGTGACATTTTGGTAACAGCATTGTTACAATCTTCAGATAAAAGTACTGTTGTTTATAGTGATCTTTTCTGATGATGTTAACAGCGCTGTTACCAAAACATCACACACTATTTATTTATTTGGATTTGGTCTTATTACCTTGTGTATCTTTCAGAGGTAATGTCTTAATCAAGATATACATGCTAAAAAGGACAACTTCCTTAAGTTTTGTCCATGAGTGTATATTTCAGAGTTATTGTCTGAATCCAGATATACATGCTAAAAGGTACAACTTCCTTAAGTTTGGTCTATGAGTGTATCTTTCAGAGTTATTGTCTGAATTCAGATATACATGCTAAAAGGTACAACTTCCTTAAGTTTGGTCTATGAGTGTATCTTTCAGAGTTATTGTCTGAATCCAGATATACATGCTAAAAGGTACAACTTCCTTAAGTTTGGTCTATGAGTGTATCTTTCAGAGTTATTGTCTGAATCCAGATATACATGCTAAAAGGTACAACTTCCTTAAGTTTGGTCTATGAGTGTATCTTTCAGAGTTATTGTCTGAATCCAGATATACATGCTAAAAGGTACAACTTCCTTGAGTTTTGTCCATGAGTGAATATTTAGCTGAAACCATCTGTGCCTATGTTTAACCAAGTATCTATATTTAAACCTGTGGTAAGAGACAACCTGTATTATCCAACCGTTTTGTCTCTGTGTTCTCTGAGCAGCTGCTTGGGACAGATTTCACTAATTGAGTCAGTCATATAAAATACTAGCCGAATGCCCCGGGCAACGCCCGTGTTTTACCCGATTGAATGTTTTGATTCAAATACTATTATAATTTGGCGCCTTAAATAAATGCATATGTTAGTTAATAACTATAGCCTGTGTGCTTTATCTGTCTATGTACTGTTGGCTTCCGTAGGCGTCTCTTACTGGGAAAAAGAAAGAGAGGATTCCATTTGGTTATTAACTAATATATGCATTTATTCAAGGAGCAACTCGCTCCAACACAATAGTTACAAAATTGAGGGGGGGGGGGGGGCAAAGGTGGCGTGATCGTAGCCGACCAATAGGAGGGCGCCATTCCAAAAAAAAAGCAAACCGTGACAGAAGCGACGAAGAATGACGCTCGTAACTGTATATAGAATACGATCTTACCTCATCACTTGGGACTGCTGTTGTAACCATGGTTAGAGCATTAAGATTTCAATGATATTGAACAGTTGCTGTTATAAAGGAAGCTGTTAGAAGGAGGTTTTTATTGTTAATATAACCTTGCTATTTGAACAATTGTTATTGCATCATTTTCTTCTCTTATTCATTCTCATCTCCACCTAATCATATTAGGGTATCAAGCTTGAGCTTGAGATTTGACAACCATCATGGTTGGGTGAAGTAGAATGCATCTGCCTTTGTCATTAAGACTGGGGGCACTACTCAGTGGCAAGCCGACTTAGCTCCAAAATAAATGGCCACCTCTGACATGTGGAACAGATGTCATGTGCATCTGCTTCTAACGTGGAGTATAGACTCATCCTGTATTCTTGGATCAGGACCCTTACAGGGTACTATCAGCTGAGCCCAGGTTTTAGCGAGCTTGTTACTGCTCCCCCTCCTTTTTCATCCGGGCTTGGGACAAGCAAAGGCAGAGTTGTGCATCTTTAAAAAAATCCTAATCAATATTCCCTTTCATATTCACCATGTTACACCATTAAAGATTGAATTAAAAGGAATGGGAATATAAAGTAAAAATCTGAATGGAAGTTTAAAAAATGTTTTTAATGTTTTAGTAAGTGTTATAGTGTGTTGAGTATTAGTGATGTTGTGTACATTGATTGGAGAATGGTACATGTGAGTGACACCAAGCATGAATGGTCCAATTGACCTTAGCAATCCAACACAACCTTGGACCTAATAGAGTTGGACAACTCATGTAAACAATTTCTTAAAGAGAACTTTATACAGTAGAACCTCCCTGTAAAGGACATCTAATTGCAGAGCCAAAGTGCCCTTTAGGGAGAGGTTTCTTCTTACCGGAGAGTTGCTAAATAGTTTTTTTTTTTTTTTTGGCTTATCCCTAGTACACGTGGTACAGGCCATAATAATCAAGGTGGGTAGTTAGCAACTGCTTTTACTGTAAGCGCACCACATGTCTACACATGTGAAAAGCAGTTCGACTTTGCACTTACAAATGTGCCAGAGCCCCGATTGGTTACTTGCACTCGCAGGTGGGGTTGGACTTTTGCAAGAATCGGGGGGCCATTGGAGCATTTTTTTTTTTAAACAGAAAAAAGTGTCCAATGCGGGAATCGAACCCGGGTCCTAGTGGTCGAAAACCAAACGGTTTAACCAGCCTTCTACCGACCCTCTGCTAAATAGTAAAAATGGTAATTTTGTAAATGAAAACTGTCCTTTATAGAGAGGTTTCCTCAAGCGTGAGTGTCCTTTCATGGAGGTTGTACTGTATATAATCAAAGGTCATCTTTCCTTTTCAAAATAAAACTCAAAACTAGACACCGCTATTGACTCTTGCTGCAAACTAGTTGACTCAGGTCAGTGACAATGCCACAACACCAGTTTTGGCTCTGTAAATAGACCTTCTTTTTAAAATTGTGAAATACACTCTATAACAAAAAAAAAATTGGTACATCAATAAATAGGCATCAGATTGGAGCACAAATTGGTGTATGTGAAGAATATGTAGAGGGGAAAATATGATTAAAATTTCAGAACAATTAAATTATGATGAATTAACCCGCCGTCTGTTATGAAAATTCGAAACTATTATAGACAAGTAACAATTTCTACTACCCTTACTGCAATGGCAATATTAATGGGAGGGCCTGGCTCATCAGTGGTGAACCCTCCTAGCAGTTTTGTCCAGTTATGTCCATTGTTAAAATACCCATTTCAAGAGTCTAACATCAGTATCACTATAAAAGGAAAATAGCAATATAACAGCGGTATGGTAGATTAAACTGGCGAAACCGCTGGGAGGGTTCACCACTGATGAGCCAGGCACTCCCATTAATTTTTCCATTGCAGTAAGGGCAGTAGAAATTGTTTAATTTTTAAAAGAATCATACTTATATATGTATATATTTTTAAATTTAATGATGTAACTGTAAATAAAATTCAAAGAATAACTCTATATGTAAATAATATTTATGAATCTTTCTAAGTCGCTTTCTGTGTATCTTTCCATATTGAATATTTTCTTTGTTATATTTGTATGTACATTTAGCGCAAGTGTCCCTAGGGGGACATAGTGTTTTGAATTGAAATAAATAAATAAAATTTAAAAAATAAATACGTGTCTAAAATAGTTAAAAATTTTCAGAACAATTAAATGTTTTATTCCAGTGTTTGATTGACACAAATTGAGAAAATCAATGTCTTTTGACCCCATTGGTCTGGATGTAGGCTGCTACCCGGCATGTCATGGACTCATATAGATTCCGGATGGGGGGCTGCAGGTGTCTCAAACTATTGGGCTGAAGAGTCAAAAAAAAGACTTGCTGCAAAAAAAAAACTGATATTTTGAAAATCAATTCGTTCTACATCGAATATTGAGTCTAGAATACTCAAGCTGGATGACAATTCAGTACACTGGAGCTCTTGCCTCGAATAAATTGGCTACCAAATTTCAATCATTTGCATGTTTGGTCGAAACACCTTTGTATATGTATTTTAACTAGCCGAATGACGGGGTTTACCCGATTAAATGCTTTTATTAAAATACTATTTGTTACAATTATAAATTGGCGCCGTGGATTTCATTCTTGTATAATATATAAATGAGTTTTAAAAATTGTAAAAAAAAAAATGCATCGGCCGGGAATCGAACCCGGGGCGCCCGCGTGGCAGGCGAGCATTCTACCACTGAACCAAAAGCAAACGGTGACAGAATTAAGAACGCATGACGCTGATAACTGTATATATTAATATAAATCAAAAAACTTCTTGTTTCCTTTATTTTTTGTTATAGAGTGTTTACAAAAAAAAAAAAAAAAGGAGAAATATTTTCTCTCATCTTTGTGACCCCAGAATACCAGATCTTTATCAAGCTTACCATTTACAATTTCATCCAACCAACATCAAAGAAAACACAATTTTTTTAACAACTATTTCCAATTATATTTACTGTATCTTTATTTTTTTAATTATATATATATATTTTTTTGCTTATCCCTAGTACACGTGGTACAGGCCATGATAATCATGGTGGGTAGTTAGCGACTGCTTTTTTACTGTAAGCGCACCACATGTCTACACATGTGAAAGCAGTTCGACTTTGCACTTACAAATGTGCCAGAGCCCCGTTTGGTTACTTGCACTCGCTGGTGGGGTTGGACTTTTGCAAGAATCGGGGGGCCATTGGAGCATTTTTTTTTTTTTTAAACAGAAAAAAGTGTCCAATGCGGGGATCGAACCCGGGTCGTAGTGGTCGTAAACCAAACGGTTTAACCAGCCTTCCACCGACCCCCCTTTTTTAATTATACCTAGTACACGTGGTACAAGCCATGATCAAGGTAGGTAGAAATTGGCGACTGCTTTTACTGTAAATGCACCACATGTCTATACATGTCTTCTTCTTCTTCTTTCTTATCTCCACTCAATCACACTAAGGTATCAAGCTTGTAAAGCTTTAGATTTTTGATGGTGTCTGCCGGGGAAGAGTAGAGCTCATCAATGGATGAGTCAATACAGTCAATAATATGTGTCTACACATGTGAAAAGCAGTTTTGGTTACTTGCACTCGAAGGTGGGGTTGGACTTTTGCAAGTATCAGGGGCCATTGGAACATTTTTCAATATTAATTTTCCCAAGTACACGTGGTACAGGCCATGACAATCATGTTGGGTAATTAGCGACTGCTTTTACTGTAAGTGCACCATATGTCTATACATGTGAAAACACATGTGAATCAGGGGTCATCGGAGCATTTACATCCTGGGTTGTAGTGGTCAAAAACCAAAGGTTTAGACCACCCTTCCACCGACCCACTAAAAAGTGAGGAACATCCACCCTTATTGTGAAGCTACCTTCTGTCGGCAACAAGATATTCCTAAAATCTTCCCTCCCAACATTCCAAGGTTGAGATTGTGAGTTGATAACCCAGTTTTCTCCAAAAAAAAAAATACAATTTCTTCAACACCTGCCGACATTTCCTCTCTGATATATTTCCCTTTCTCCTTTTTCCCCTATTTCCAGTAGAAAAAAAAATTTCCTTGTTCCCTTCTCTTAGAGATCTTTAGCTCCGTAAAATATTTGTTAGAACACACCAAAAATTATTCCAAATTCTTTCTCTTTTTTCATCACTTCTATATAGCACATTTTTAAATTTCATTAGTTACAAGAGGCAGCAAGATTAAATCCAAATTATTGAAATATTCATTTACAGTACAACCTCCATTAGAGGACACTCACGCTAGAGGACACCTCTTTATAAAGAACAGTTTTCATTTGCAATATAACCATTTTTACTATTTAACAACTCTCCAGTAAGAGGACACCTCTCTACAAAGGACAGTTTTCATTTGCAATATTACCATTTTTACTATTTAACAATTCTCCAGTAAGAGGACACCTCTCTACAAAGGACAGTTTTCATTTGCAATATAACCATTTTAACTATTTAACAATTCTCCAGTAAGAGAACACCTCTCTATAAAGGACAGTTTTCATTTGCAATATAACCATTTTTACTATTTAACAATTCTCCAGTAAGAGGACACCTCTTTATAAAGAACAGTTTTCATTTGCAATATAACCATTTTTACTATTTAGCAACTCTCCAGTAAGAGGACACCTCTCTACAAAGAACAGTTTTCATTTGCAATATAACCATTTTTACTATTTAACAATTCTCCAGTAAGAGGACACCTCTCTACAAAGAACAGTTTTCATTTGCAATATAACCATTTTTACTATTTAGCAACTCTCCAGTAAGAGGACACCTCTTTACAAAGGACAGTTTTCATTTGCAATATAACCATTTTTACTATTTAGCAACTCTCCAGTAAGAGGACACCTCTCTACAAAGGACAGTTTTCATTTGCAATATTACCATTTTTACTATTTAGCAACTCTCCAGTAAAGAGGACACCACTCCCTAAAGGACACTTTGACTTTGCAATTAGGTATCCTTTACAGGGAGGTTCTACTGTATTCCAAATTCCTTTTTATTTTTATTTTTTCATCCCTTATATATAACCTCTGTTTAGGTTTGTTAGTTACAAAAGGTAGCAATTTACACGGTACTTGTTTTACACGTTTTCGCTTTTACACGGTTTTCCAAATAAGTTTTTTTTTTTTTGTTTTATCGCACTATACTAAATGCTACTGTGATTGAACACATGCGCTGTGTACACATCTCACAAGGAATCCCGAGCTTATGTGCTGACTACATATTTTAACCTGTCAATGCATTTTATTTTTATTTCTGTGTACACCTATCCCCCGATTTACACGTTTTTCTCAGGAACGTATCTACCGTGTAAATCGGGGGATAGGTGTAATTTAATTTAGAGTAATGATAAGGCACAATTTGGATTATCTATATATATAAAAATGAATGTTTGTTGGTCCGTCCGTAAGTGATAATCTTCTACATCGCTCAACCGATCGTGATGAAACTTTGGGAAGTTGTTTAGTATACTACCGGGATGATTTCTGGCTAATTACTCTTTAGAAATAACCTTTCGTTGCATTTTTATTTACAATAAAACGTAAATTCACTCGCAATCAGCGCCCCCTCGCGGCAGGCGTATGGCCTGAAATAGCCTCGCATGAGCGTATTTGTAACGTCAAGCTTAGCCTATAGATTAGGTACACAGCTTCGTACCCCCACAACCTAGGTTCGAGGCTCAGCGTGGGTGTTTTTTTTTTTTTTTCATTTCTTTTATATTATTGTAGCAAATTATTAAAAATATTATTTTATTTAAAATGTAGGCTTTTTAAAATAAAAATTAACATAAACAATTTTTAAATAATATTTATAACAAACCTAGGTTCGAGGCTCAGCGTGGGTGTCTTTTTTTTAATTTTCATTTCTTTTATATTATTGTAGCAAAGTCTTTTTTTTACAGCATTATTATATTTTAATTGGTTTATTTTAAATATGTTTGTTATGAAGGCTCTAAGTAATACTATTTAGAGCACATTTTACATTTTAAACACCTAAGCACCCCTCTTTTTAATATTGTAGCAAAGTATTAAAAGTATTATTTTATTTTAGATGTTTGCCATGAAACTTTGGGAAGTTGTTTAGTATACTACCGGGACGATTTCTGGCGAATTATTTTAAAATAATATTTATAACAATAATTATAGCAAATTTTAAGACATATTTTTAAATTCTGTGTTTGTGCATATATAAA